AGGTTGCCTGACACTGCGGAATGGAGTAAATGTGTGTGTATAGACACACACACACACACACCACACACCACACGCACACACACACACACACACACACACACACACATATATATATATATATATTATATATATAATATATGTACTATATATATATATAATATATATATATACTGCATCTACAGGAAGTTCGGGTGATTTTGAGTTTGCATAAAAGGGAAGAAAAACACAATATCTCGGCCAAATAAAAAAAAAATCTTATGTAAAAATCAACTAGATTTTGGCTGAGAGATACCAGTTTACTCCGAGCAGCCGCCCTCCGCTTCTACCAGTCTCAAGCGTTCTTTGGAACTTTTGGAAACTGGAACCTTGCGTTGTAGTGTCCCTTAGAAAGACCTTCCAACACCTCTTATTATCTTGGCAAGAGCTCGCTTTGGCGTTGCAGGCAAAGCCGTTGGCATCTTTCACAGCCGCGTTTTGCACATAGTAATCCATGAAATTACGATCGGGAGAATTAACAAAAGCCCAGATCTTGAAGGTTTTGGATGGTGATATGTCTTGGTGCTAAGAGCATGTCTATTAGCTTGTACAGTCCAGCTTATCCTATGCTGATGCATGGCCAGTAAGGTATCTCCCATACTTCCTGGTGCTCACCATACTACGTCATCAACGGCGCTAATATGCTCAGCACGCGAGCAACGGCCAGACACCGCTATTGCATTAGTGCGTATGATCAGCTTCAAATGTGTGTGTTGTTGTTCGTGTTGTGTTGTGGTGGTGTGTTGTGGTGAGTGTGCTGTTGTTGTAGAATGTCGTATTGTTCCTACCAAAGTTGTGTGTAGCATGAATGATGTATGTGACACCCGTACGATGCTATAAGAATACGCGTGTGCGTGCGGCCGTATGTGTATATAGGCTGTTGTGTTATTTGAAATTTGTCGACTGTGTATATATCCCATCTGTAAGATATCGACTTTAGTCACAGGTATAAATTAATATGCTAGTTACGTAATAACTTGATTTATAGCCTAGAACTCATGTACCATAAGATTCTTTTTGATACCTAAACAGATAGAAATACGTTTTATTCCCTACTTTGTAAAAATATACTAGAAAAGCAATACAACTGTTCGACCATCACTACACTTCTCACGATAGGGTACTTCCATGGAGAGGAGGACTCACGTAATCAGCTGCCAGAAAGATGGACGTGGACACCTCAATAGGGGGACTTGACCCTCAATCAAAGACTTTCTGGTGAATGGACTTTGGACAGTGATACCGAAGAGAAGCCTATCTTCTCGCACTCGATAGACAGGTTACGAAAGCTCAGAACTCTCCATTTCTTCCTGTTAAAAGCCAACCGTGCCCACAAAGTCCTTAACACACAATGTTGGCAAAAATATAGAAAATGCAAATATATACTGTGACTTACTACGGACTGTAAGGTGTGATAAACTGTGGAACTAAGATGTGGGGTGATAACTATGGAACTAGATGTAGGATATGATGAACTTGGAACTAGGCTATACGCCCAGCTGAAGTACTATAACTATTGGAATCAAATGTATTGGTGTGACGAACTTTGGAACTAGAATGGGAAATTTAGATTTATAAATACTATGGAACTAACTGTAGTGGTTTGATTAAAGGTATGTGTGATATTATAACCGTAGGTGTATATGACACATACTATGGAAACTATAACTGTATTATGTGACTCTATGAACTACCTAGCAGCAAGTCAAACCGAGTCTCGATGCCAGACTGTCCTCAGACTGGAGTTGAATTGTTCCATGGATCCTTGTCATTTTCCTATGAGCCATAGCCAGCCAGTTTTTATAATAGAATAAGATTGCCTAATTCATTCTTCCTTGGTGCTATTCTATGATACTAGCTCACTACAATACGCTACAACAAACCGAGACAGACAAAATATTAGATGTATTGAATTTGATTGCCACGGAATAACCTCATGTGTTCTAAGTTCCAGTCTGCATGAATAGCACAAATGTCTTCCGGGTCGCATGTTAAGATCCAAAAAACATATATTGAGTAAAATATATAGTTGACATTGGAGATAGGATAAAATCACACATTACTATAAGAAATATTAGAAATTAATATATTATATGGTACATAGATAGGTGAAATAATAATAATGTACTTATTGTATGATGTATCACTCTCCACTAATACACTTATTTTAAAATTACGATTTTGAAATATAAGATGCATAATAGAGATAGTATATATATGATATATCATGTGTGTGGCGTGTGGTGTGTTGTGTGTGTATTGGGTCAGTATTCGTTGCGATATTCTGTGCATAAACTTAAAGTTCAAACGCTTAGTCTTCTGGTACATTCACTGGAATGGAGCATCACATATCCTCAGTCATAACTCTGGTTGTTAATATAAACAAACTTTTATGCCATCCCTCTTGGACCTGCTTCTGCATACTTATTCCATGACTGAAATCCACTCCGAGTAAATCACAACATCAATCTGAACACCTCATTACTATAAACCACTAATTCACAACATAATAACACTACGCCGTGAGAGTAACTGGCCAGTCGCAGCGGACATTCGCCACTTCGGTACATCTGTACCGACTGCCACCCTTGCGACTCTTCAGTTACATCTTCTCTGTTTTATCGTGTGCTTGTGTGGAATTTCACTGACTACAACACAGATTGCGCAATCATAACGCAAGATGGAACCGAAGCATAAGCCAAAAGTTGCCGCGAAGATTTAATTCCCAGCTTCTCGGTCCCCCCGGAGGTAATGATGAAAGTACCTGCCACAATGTGTAGTCTGGTATATATAACAATGTGCTTGTATGGTTTGGGTGTGCTGTATAAGTATATATCCTGTAAATGCTTTTGATTCTTATTTAAATCCGATTTCCCTCCCTTGTGCGATTACTCTACATTTCACATAACTGGAAGTATATCTGATTTTACAAACACACACGACACACACGACGCCACACAGCGGAGCATTCTCCATACGGCAGACTTCCGCGCAATCTCACCAAGGACCTGACTGCACAATGGACATCCACCTTAATACAGTGAAGCCATAAAAGAGCCTGAAAAGATCATGAAGGTTAAAGTGCAGAGAAAATAGAGAGGAACGAAAGAGAGGGAAGACCAAGAAGAACGACACGAATATGCGCAAAGGACTTTTTCGCTAGAAGCTTTCGTCAAGGGCATGTAGAGTGATTCCAGGGACTTCACGAAGACCATTGAGCGAAAAAAGGCCTACGCACTAATTCATGTGTATTGGAATTGTATTCATATAGGTGCGCCGCCCACCCTTCGCTTAGTTTCCTGTTGCATTGTTTCATCATTGGAATTTCCACACAAGAAGATAAACAAAAAATTACTGTCCGAAATGTAACGCCCGAAGCCGTGCGCCACTGGCGCGAAGGACACTTCAAGCTAAAATGCTTCGTCAGGGAATAGTTTATTATGCCCACTTGTGGACGAAGCTTAAGCGAAAAAAGTCTTTGGGCATATTCGTGTGGTTTTCTTGTCCTTCCCTTTCTTTGTTCCTATTATTTTTCTTGCACTTAACCATTTGAATTTTTCCTCTTTTATGCTTCACTTTAATTAGATAATTCCATTTCCCAATCAGTTCCTTGGTATTAGCCGGAACTGTCTCCTATGACGAATTCCGTGTGTGTTGTGTGTGTGTGTGGTTTGTAAATACAGATATACTCCAGTTATGTGGAAATGTAGAGATGCACAAGGGAGGGAAATCGGTTAAATAAGAATCAAAGCATTTACAGGATATATATTATAAAGCACACCCAAAACCATAACCACAGCACCAGTTGTTTACATATACCAGACTACACATTGTGCAGTATTCATATTAAAATCCGGGCGGGACGAGAAGCTGGGAAGTTAAATCTTCGCGGGCATTTTGGCTTCTGCGCACTTGCCAGATGCGCGATGAGGGCACTCGGAGGAACCAGCGGGCAGCCAGATGTCCGAGGTGCAGTCGCCTCCGGGGGTACCTGGGGAGAAGGGAGGAGGGCAAGTGAGGCCTCGTGGATCCTTTCAGAAGCAGTCAAAAGCAAAATTGGTTAATACATGGAGGTTTGCGAAGGCCTTCCGTGAATGTAGCCAGAAGGCAGGCGTTTGACTTCTAAGTTTGCTCAGGGAAATCGGCCACGTACTGACCAATATAACACACACACACACAACACACACAACACACATATATATTTAATATATATATATATATATGCCAATTATATTTACATATGTATATTACTTGTATATGAGTAATATATACATATTGTAATACATAATATAGTATATATATATATATATATAATATATATATATATATAAATATATATTAACATCTCTCCCAGTCTTAAATATTTCAGTGTTGTCTACACGTCTCTGTGCGAGACATGTGCTATCATGACAAGACTGAACTTAGAACACAGGATGAGGTTCATTCCGTGGGCAATCAAATTCAATCAATCATTTATCTAATATATCTGGCTCGGTTTGGCGTAGAAGTAGCAAGGCAACCAAGGAAGAAGAAGAACTAATTGGCAATCTATTATAAAAACTGCTGGGCCTTGGCTCAGCGGAATTGAAAACTAAGGTTCAGGAACAATTCACCCTCCCCCCCCGCCCCCCCCCCCCCCCCCCTGCCCCCAAAAAACCCCCCCCCCACTTTTTTTTTTTTTTTTTACCCTTGCACTGTCTAGGGTCAGTGCTGGGCATCGGACCTCGTGGTTTGACATTGCTGCCTAGGTAGTCAATAAGGATCAACATAATACATTTCTAGTCCAAATAAGTTTTCATTACACCCTACGTTCAATTCCATTACTTTTCCACACCCCTACAGTTCTAGTTCCATAGTTTTATCAATCTAATATTTCCCATTCTAGTTCCATAGTTCGTCACACCCTACATTCTAATTCCATAGTTTATCACGGCCTATAGCCTAGTTCCATAGTTCATCATATC